AGTGGGGGAAAGGTCAGATATCAGACATTTTCTGAGGACATGGTCTAACGGACCGAGTGCAAAACTTTTAAGTAGGCACCTACTAGAATTCCATTAATGACAATGTGTCAGAATTTGTGTTTTCCAATGGCAGCTAAGCCTATTAAATTACTATCAAAACTACCTACTAGTAATCAGATTATCCATCCAGTAATCAGGTCCATCTATTAGTAATCTATTAGTAATCAGTCATTAGTAAGCCTATAAAATTTACTAAATCAGTAAATGAATATATAGGCCTAATCACACTTATTCATTTGTTAACAGAAAAAACAAATCGCACAACTGAAGGCAAAGAAGCCGGCTCCCACAACAGCGACAACGGCAGCTGGTAAAAAGACATGGACGTTCCGTAAGTCAAGAGAGTTTAATCTATTTCCAGAGATGATTTTCGTGCATTGTGATTGGTGAGTGAATGCACTGTTCATGCATTGCGAGTCGGTCAAAAAATTCATTACTTACAGCATGTATGAATAACCTTTGATGCGGTCCCAAAATATTAATTGATCAGGTTTCTCCCCAGGAATTTCAGAATGCATGTGGTTTATTGTAGACGAATTGGGGAGGCGCAGTAGGGGGTTGTACCAAAAAGAGACAATTACACGTGCCATGCCATGATGGCATAAGCGGCCCTGATACACAAGTAAACTCTATCAGTTCGAAAACGCATTCATCAACCTGTGAAAACACAACACGACCGCGTTGGGATCGTCAAAAGTAACACACAACTGGAAATTGAGCCATGTCAATTAGACAATTATGGGACCAGAGGATTTACGTGATGTGGCAAGTTAGCTTTAACTTTGAAGGCACGTAGGACCCGACCGACCGAAAGGCCTGGGGAGAACCCTGTTGATGACTCCTTATTCACTTAACAATTGTTTACTTTCCGTTACAGCGTCAGAAGTGCCAGACGACCCCAAAGAAGCAGCAAAGCAGCTGATAAAATCAGGCGTACGTGGTTTATTCATTTGTCTGAGCCTCAAACTTGAGGCTTTTTGTTTGAGGATTTTTCTACTGCGATATGCAGTGTTGATCTGTCTATTTGATAAACTTTGTCTCTCTCCGTCTTCGATGTAGTCCCTTGGACATTGAAGACTAATATTTACGAAGTTATGTGGTTTATATTGTTGTAACGCATAGAAATAAAAATATTACGCGACTAGATATGTCAAGACTCTCTGAAATAGCAATAAATGCACTCATCGATTGCATCATGACTTGATGCCGGAATGTACTGCGCGCCTGTAATTCTGTAGATGTGAAAAACGAAGATGCGTAATTTGCTTCTTTTTACTGACGTCTGGAATTTGTGATAACTGCAGGCGATACAGGCTATTAAAGGAGGCCATAAGGAGAGCAGAGGTTTCAAGCGGTCGCGCACCTTGGAACGCAGACTTACGGTAGGTGGCAATCTCTTGAGTGCCTATGTTTCGCCGCACCTCGTCGTTAGAGCGCACGTGACAGCAGGGAAAAAATACCTTTTTTTTTACGGGAGCTCTTTTTCAAAAGTCTGTGGAAAAAATAGCTCTTGACAAAAATTTTAAAGGAGCTGTTTTGAGCCTCACAGGAGCGATTTCGGAGGTTTGAAGAGCGAATCGCTCATCGCTCCCCTGTATTTTTTACCCTGCGTGACAGAGTAACTGTTTCTTCGGCGATGATATCACCGATGCATTTCGTTACAGGGCAAAACGAGATTGTGCATTTTTTGTAGCGGCACCGTTTACTAGATATAAATGGAAGATTGTTGGTAATAGACATTGTGCCTAAGTCACTGATCTCTATAAACTAACTGGATGGCGGTTAGCTTATCCACGGTCGGTAAGAAAGTGACGCCACCGCGCCACTGCCGCCATCTTGCCACCACTCCCAAAAGCTGATGTCTGCTGGTGTGCGCTCCACAACATTTCAATTGGATAATGACGAAATGTGGCTTATTTTATCATTTTTATTCGCACGAAAACAAACCTTGATAAGCACACGGCAGAATTTGATATATTTTTATAGATAGATATATACGGCGGGAGAAAAAGAGGAAGAAAATATGATAATCTATACATGGAGGTTTCTGATGTGACGTCACGTGACACTTGAAAATTCGGCTCAGCCTATTGGCCTGATGCTATTTTGAGAAGTGGTGTCATGGTGTCTGGTGACTTCACCTATTGGCCACTAACAGCTGTCCAGTTAGTATATATAGAGAGATGAGTAACTCCTACTAGGAGTGGTGTCTTGGCGTTCGGTGGCTACACCACGTGGCCACTAACAGGTAGTATATATAGAGATGAGTAGTCCTAAGCTTGCTTGATCCGTATCTATGATAACTGGTCGCGCAGGACACCGGCGAAAAGACAGACACGAAGCCAGTTGGATTCCAGCCGTTTAGCGTCGTCGCTGCATCTAAATCTGGCGAGGAAAACATAGACAGCTCTAGGGTGAGTACTACATGTATTTGTTTTTGAATTACACGCGATAAAGATTTAATAATGATAATGATAAGTGACTACAGTTGGTGCCACGATTTCCTTGATTTTCGCATTTAATTGTCACGTTATTTCAGTTTGAAACTATAGCTTCGGGGTTTAGTATATAATTATATCATAAGTATATAGTGTATAGCAGGGCCTGACTGGGAAAATCATTCAGGCCGGGATATATAGCGCGAAATATAGCCCCAGTTAGGCCACTTTTTAAGCGGGGGGGATCTTGGGGTCCCGGACGTGACGTCACTGCGCCCTCACCTATAATGGCCTGCAGGCCGCAGATTTAAAAAATATGTGTGGCCTGCAGGCCGCAGATTTATTCATTTTTTTAAATTTGGGGGGGGGGCAGGCCACTTAGCAGGGAAAACTCCCGGTGCTCCCGATCACCAGTCCGTTCCTGGTATGTAGTATGTTATAACTATTATATAGCGAGATTGACGCGATGGATGTTTATTTAAAAAAAACGATCTGCCGAAAAACATTCTAAAGCAACCCGTGGTCGTTTTCACCCGACTACATGTCGGTAGATTGGCGTTGAAATCATCTCCGTGATATTGTTTTTTGTGATAGGGCGGCGGTGGCGGCGGCGGGGGCGGCGGCGGAGGCGGTGGCGGCGGCGGCGTCGGCGGCGGCGGCGGGGGTCGTCCGCCGGCGAAGGTCAAGAAACTGTACGAGAGTTTTGTGCGGGGTCCGGACGAGCCGAGCGAATCCAGAGGTACGTGTCCGAGTGTCCGAGTGTATCGTGGCTGTTGCGAAATCTAACGTCGATCGAGTCGTAGCCCGTGAAACAATGGCAATCGGGCAAGTCGTCGTTGGCACGTTCCATTGTTTCCTTTGTGAGGGCGGCGAGCGTGCGCAGCGGCGGGACTTTGACTACGAACGGGAGCCGCGGCGCTGCAACACGATCTAAGTGCGCGGCTACAACGTTCACTTGTTTCTCTCTTGCGCGCGTGTGCAGACGGCGGCCACCGCGCGGCAGGGAAGCGAGCGCGGCTACAACGTTCACTTGTTTCTCTCTTGCGCGCGTGTGCAGACGGAGGCCACCGCGCGTCGGGGGAGCGAGCGCGGCTACAACGTTCACTTGTTTCTCTCATGCGTGCGCGCGTGCAGACGGAGGCCACCGCGCGTCGGGGGAGCGAACGCGGCTACAACGTTCACTTGTTTCTCTCGTGCATGCGCGCGTGCAGACGGAGGCGACCGCACGTCTGGGGAGCGAACGCCGCGGCGGGACTTTGACTACGAGCGGGAGCCGCGGCGCGGCAACACGATCTACGTGCGCGGCTACAACGTCACCGAGGAGATGCTGCGTAAGACCTTCGTCAACTTCGGACCCATCCTCAACGTCTCGATGGAAGCCGAGAAAAAGTATGTGCGAGCGAGAGGGGGGTGGGGGTTGGGGGGCGCCACCGCATTGCGGAATCGTCGGCAGCGGGGATTGGGGGCGCCACTGCAGTGCCGATTTGTTGACGACGGAGGTGCGGGGGTGGGGGTCGCCCATTTCGTCGTCGGTTCAAGAAGCGATCACCATTGCAGTGCGTTGCACGCGTGTCCTTTGGTGGTTACGCCGCTGTTTCGTTTACGTGTTCGAGAGAAAAAGTAGGTGCACGTGCACCATTTCGTCGCTGACGGGGGTTGGGGGCGCCACCGTGTTACCGATTAGTCGGTGGTGGAGGGTTGGGGGCACCACCGTGCTGCGGATTCATCGGCAGCCGGGGTTGGGGCGCCACCGCATCGGCAATTTGAGACATCGACAGCCATTGTTGCAGATGCGGGATGGGGTGGTGTCGGCCGTTTCATCGTCGATTCGAGAAGTGATCGCCGTGATTGCAGTAGTCGCGTTTCACGTGCGTGCTTTGTTGTGGTTACGTCGGCGTTTTGTTGCCGGGGTTACGCATTCGTGAGGTTTCTCCGCCCCCCTGCTGGGATGCATCGCTAACGTCGTCTGTTGTTGCATTTTGCAGCTGCGGATTCGTTACGTTCCAGACAAACCAGGCGGCGGAACAGTGCATAAATGAGGTGAGTGTATAGCACACGGTCACCTACTGTAAATATGCTTCCGATTGTTTTGCACGGCAAAACATGAAGCAACATCCATCTAATCCAATCAATCAATCGATCACATCATCACAAATGTGTTGATTGAAAAAACAACACGCATCCGGTTGGTCCTTTTGCAGCCTCTTTCTACGTGAGCGGCCGGTTTTCATTGTTCTGCTTTTGAAGTACTCGTTAGATTCCCCCCCCCCCCAAAAAGTTGTTGACGTAGTATTTCGAATTTTCGGGGTGGGTCCCCGGTGTTCTTTTGAGTGTCTACGGTCAGTAGCACTACGAGTATTTTCGATACAGTATTCATTACATACAGATTACAGTTCATAGCAGTAGTTTGAATGCTAGCCTGGGTTGCATGGGGCTGGGTCCCATTTTCAGGATCAAAGTTAGTCTCAACATGAACATTTTCTCGTAGACCGGACGTAATAAACCACACATATATAGCTGCTCAGAGGCGCCATCTTTCAAATAAAATTGGTATTAAAATTTTGACTAAATTTTGCCTGCAACCCTGAATGTATTCTTAACATCAACTTTTTCTCGTAGACCGGACCTCTGCACGCAGCGTACAAGAAACTTCGCCACGTTCCTGTCGACAGTCTGAGCAAATACTAATGATCAATTACTAATGATGAATTATTTATGATTTATTATAATTGATTTATTACTAATGACTAATGATTTATTACTAATGACAAGACTGTGATTTGTTTCTGACACTGGAGCCCCCCTGGACATTTTTAGGCGAGAGGTAATTGACAGACGGCAGCAATACGAGTCTTTCTCGTACGATTTCAGATGAACGGCAGCATGGTGCAGGGAGTAACGTTGAAGGTGTCGCTTGCGAGGAGGCAGCCCGTCATAGATCTCCCCGCCGCCGACGTAACGACGTCGTCCTGGTCTGCTATCGGTAAGGCGAGGCGTCGCTCACCACAATCTATTTCACGATCTATGTTACGGTCTATGCCACGATCTATGCCACAATCTATGTCACGGTCTATGTCACGATCTATGTCACGATCTATGCAACGATCTATGCCACGATCCCCACGATCTACGCCACCATCTACGCCACCATCTATGCAACGATCTATGCCATGATCTATGCCACGATCTATGTCACAATCTAAGCCACGATCTATGCCACGGTCTATGTCATGATCTATGCCACAATCTATGTCACAGTCTATGTCACGATCTATGCCACGATCTATGTCACGATCTACGTCACGATCTATACCACGATCTATGCCACGATCTACGTCATGATCTACGCCACGATCTATGTCACGATCTATGTCATGACCTACGTCACGATCTATGCCATGATCTATGTTGTTGTGACCAGCGTCGGTATGTAGGGAGCGTGAATGTAGCTGCTGCTGCTGCTACTACTGCTGCTGCTGCTGCTACTACCGCTGCTGCTACTACCGCTGCTGCTGCTACTGCTGTTGTTGTTGTTGCTTCTGCTGCTGCTGCTGCTACTGCTGCTACTGCTGCTGCTGCTACTGCTGCTACTACTCTGCTACTCTGCTACTACTGCTGCTGCTGCTGCTGCTGCTACTACTGCTGCTGCTGCTACTACTGCTGCTGCTGC